GAGGGTCTTGACGACGAGCGCTTGTCTGGCACTTCCGCTAGCCGTCCCCGGGATGGTCTCGTATAGATTCGTCAACTCTAACGGCGCTGTCTGATGACATTGATGCCAATGGAGACGCGTACAACAATCTGAGCACCAAACAGCACACATCCTATACCAAATCGTCAAAGATACTCAAAACGGCAATTTCCAGGGTACACCAGTTGTTGTTGTTTTCTTACAGCTACGGGTGTCCCTCCGTGTATTTCCGTAGCTTTTATTCACGCTTTGGATCCTCCCCTGCTAGGCTTTCGTCGGAGTCTCCAGGGTTGCCCTTACACTGGATAGAAAGGTTGCAACCTGCTTTGCAGACTTCTTGATTGATTTGCCAGCCCAACTTGCGCGCTGAAGGCAGACATGGTGGTGGGTGGTTGCTGGTGCCGCACGACGTTTTAACAGTGCTTCATGACCCCTATAATAAGGGATTTGTGCATTAGGAACTTGGCAGAGAGGAGTTCGTACCTTGGAGTCCTTGCAGGGGAAGGACAAATGAAGCCATTGAGGAGACCGGTAGAGTGAAGAATGACACGTCAAGGGTGATGTAAGTGTCACATGACCTGTCACGACACACTGGGTAGACCCTGGCCGGGTCCGGGCCTGATCGGGTGTTCTCGGATATCATCGCGCTACTCGCACCCGGGATCAACCCTATTTGCGGGCCCACGTATATAATGTGTGATAGCGTACCATGTACTCTATCGCTTAGATCGTCTGAAGAACTACCTTTCTCTGTGCAAGGAGGTGCCAATGACTTATCGGGCCCACCACGACCCGATTCAAACCTTTGACCACCAACAGCAACAAGGGACCGAGTTAATGGACCCTTTCGGTTTCAATCTACCCCGCCCGCCCGTACTCGCGGGCCCGACGATCTGTCTGTTCTGTTCTGGGCACGCGTTTTTAGGAGGAGTCCTTGCACAGCCCGACCTGCAGCCTGACAGGAATCTACTCTACTTATATATACTATTACCATGTATTTACCATGCCTAATATGAGAGGCAATAACATCATACTTTAGCCATGCCTTTACATGCTATCTCTCCACACTGTCAACCAACATCAGCATCGACATCTAATGATCCAATCTTCTCCCTGTCTTATTTTCTCAACCAGGACCAGAATCAAAGGTTTAAAAGGCAAAGAAAAAGGTTTCTTAAACCCAGGGTTTGACAGAATGGCAGGCCCTTCAAGTTGCACTGACTGCAACTCAAAGACTTTAACAGCCTGACCTCAACTTAAGCCCAAAAGACAAAGAAAAAAACTGGGGGGATGAGAAAGATGGATTTTGGCTAACTATCCACAGGCATTTATACTAACTAAACTAGGGGCTAGGAACCAGATCTGAGGCACCAGGCTTGTGGGACAAGGAATAGTCATAGGAACTATGAAAAGAGAGAGGGAGGAGAAAAGAAATGACAACCTATTATGGGTGATGACCAAGTGTGACTAAGACTAACATGTGATAATCAAAGCTTGTCAATGTTGAACTGTCGCCAAGCCCAACTCAATACAAGGGGACAGGGGAGGAGTGCTAGAAGGTTAGGAGTAGTGCCTGGTCCGCACGGAATGTACAATTGTCTAGGGCCAGGAACAGGGTTTGCTTGCTTTTACTGACCAACTGGCATTCTCTGATTTGGTGTTGTTTGTGACACATTCCCTAGTAAATTATCGGCTTTGATTGTCCACAACTCTTTTTTCTGTTTTTTTTTTTGTAGCATTTGTAGTATTTCGCGCCAAAACAGCCACCCGAAGATGGACTTACATAGCAGAGATCGGGGCCCAAATCAGTGCCCTAAATTTCTGATGAATCAAAGGCCTTGATTGTGGAGCATGTGAAATCAAAATTACCTTATTTGGTAGTTTGGACATTGGATCTGCGACACTGATTTGTGAGAGATTGGATGCCCCTTTTTGGCACCTGATTTCTCACAAAAAAGTCCAGCTCCGGGTCGCTGTTTTTATGCAAAACCCGGATGTAAATGGACTTCAGTCTGCAACTCTAGGAGTTAGGAAATATGCAATGTCAGAAAGTATTATTGTATATCATCATAACATGACTCTACTCCTGCCCTACTAGTAGTGCAAGACACCCTACTAAAAATGCCAACGAGCTGTTTCTGGAAGATCACAAAATCTTATACTTTGGAATGTTGTCAGGGGAACCTCCCTTTCGGCCCCTCGGAGACGATTCCGATTCCGGTCCGACTCCGGCTCCGACTCCGGTGATCGCATCACCGCCTCCGTCAGGCGCATCGCCGCCCCCGCCTGGCGATCCCCCTGGGACCTGGCCTGCGACATGGCGCAGGCATACTGCACGGAGCAACGATCAACCTTGGCGCGTCAAGAGCGCAGTATATAGTTCCGCTACCTAGCAGGCGGACCCTTAGAGTTTCTTCTCTTTGGATCCTCCCCTGCTAGGTCAGCCTCACTTGTATTTGCTTACTTCTATTCACTCTTTGGATCCTCCCCTGCTAGGACCTTGATCTCAGGCCTCCGGGGTTGCCCTTACAAATGTGTCCCACTCTTCCTTGGTAATTAAGCCACGGCCAACTCTGGCTCGAAAGCTATAACTGTTCCATGCTCTTTCTTCTTCCTCAATAGTAACCCTGCCGAAGGGATACTGATGTGCCAGATCATCTGTCGACGTCCACCCTTCTTCCCAAGCTGGATGAATATAATAATCATCCTTGTTCTCTAGGATATAAGAATACCGCCGATTTCTCCATTCTCCAGTCACTATGGTTCCATAAGCACTGCAGTCTAATCAATAGAGAGATACATACAGTAGGCATTTTGCTTTGTAATCACTTTCTGCTGACACACAACACAACGCTCATTGGTTGCTGGGCGAGCTTCTGAGAGAACACGCAAGCTGTTGAAGTCTGCAGAGAGTAGAATCAGTTCCTGGTGATATCCGGCACAATGATGCAGGCCTTCTCCCCTATCAGGTCGCTCATGATGCTTGAATTGAAGCACAAATGGATATGTTTTGTACTCCTGGCCAGAATATTTTAAATGCTGTAAAACTGATTTGATGAAGAAGATGCTGCTGAATGGTATCTATTGTATGGTGATCAGAGCTGATAGCCCATTCAATTGTGCGGCGAAGCCTTGACCGTGGCAGGAAGTGGCTAGGTGGGGCAGATAACAGTGGGCCAGGTTCCTCCCTCTGAAATGCAACAACAAAGGAATCAAAGTCATCAGGATCTATTGTCACTTGATCTCCTGTGTGACAAAAAAACCCACCATTCAGAAGAGTGCTGAGTGAGATGATTGGTGCAGCTCACCATATGTGGCTAGATGCCCCTGTCTGAAGACCTGTAATACAGTACTTGAGACTCAAACAGCTCTATGCAAAAAATAATATTTTTGAAAAAGAAACACATACCCTCTGAAGGATATCATCATACATCAAAACCTCAGGATGACGAGTCGTAATAGCCAGTCGACGATGATGCCAAAGCTTGTGGAGATTATTTGCTCCTGTCGTCAATGCAAGTTGCACTTTGCCATGGGAATCAATCAGAACATCAATACTGACCTATTTCATTCAATTAGGCGGGTCACGGTCACATCGGATTTTTTAGCCGAAATATTTCGGCGGGTCACAGGTCACAGCCAAATCCTTTGGTCCCAAACTGTCCTAATCGGGAAGATTTTCAAATTTGCGGCGCCTGCGGCGCGCCGAACTTCCCAATCGGGTAATAGGTCACGCGAAATTCGGCCTGCGGCCGAATTGGACATTTCGGCCAAACGGTCACGGGTCACAGGCCCGCTGAATTGATCGAAATGGGTCAGTATTCTGGTATTAAATCATAAGTTTTATGCTGAAAAAGATCAAAATAAATCATCATACTGCAGGACAAAGCTCAGCAAAGATATAAGGCTTGGTGCTAAAATAAGCAATAGCAGACTAAATTTGTCAGATCCATTATCAACTTTAAGGGAATGAAATACCGCAATATTATGTGCCTGGAGTGTGTTGAAATAAGAAAGGGGTGGTATATGCAATCAGCAATAAATGTAACATACCAGAATCCATGATAGCATCAAAGTTTCAATCAGGTCAACCCAGTGGAGACGAGTGTGTTTGCGAATGACAATCTCCTTCAGTAGCTCAACCCTTGATGTGTCCACCTCCTTGCCCGACCAATCACATCGAGCTTACGGCAGAATGGTGAAACATACCTCAAGTTGCATTTGGTTCCCGCGGTGGAGTCCCGAAAAAGCGTCGATTGTCTACGATAAAGGTTCCACTAGAGACCACAATGTTTTTGCTGTGAGAGAAAAATGACTGCTTAGCTCCTCCGCAACTAAGCACCGTTCAACGAGCGGGAAGCAGAAGGCATTGAAATTATCCGCATACAAGAGTGAGCGAGGAATCGTCCACCGCTTTTGCTCCTCCCGTGATTTGAACTTCAGCGGTGGTATGAAGAAATAGGAGGGGTCGTAGTAGAAGGTCCTGGGCGAGTCGATGGAGGGAGAGGGCAAGGAAGACATGGCCGTGTGCACGAAGCCCCGGGAGCATTCCCACACTGGCATCCCCCTCAGCGAGACGATCAGGGGACAGATAGGGACAGATGGAGGACGATCTGCATTGACGCAGAGTGCCGTAGCCGGTACGAAGACCCGCAATGTGTTTGATACGTCCTGAGAGTGTCGTAAGTATCATCGCACGGTCAACGAGGCGCGTCCACAGACACGGCCTTCGGGACACAGTGTCAATATTGCTGTGGAAGCCAGCCAATCGGAAGGTTGGTCGGTTGAAGGCTGTCTAAAACAAAGTATTTGTCGAGCAATGTCGGATGGGACTTATCGATATCGGACTGGAAGCTGTGGGATACGATGAGAATGGTTCCAAATGCTATTTTGGAAGATCAAGCACGATATCTACCTGCGAACATTGGGATTGCGGGGAAAATCATGCCGAGCTTACCATACGCTAGCGTTGTATGGGCAATTCAGAGATCTAGAACGATATCAACCTGCCAAGCTTCAGTCATGCGCCACACACGAAAGCGCACTCACTTTCCCGAGCTCTCCTTCCACACGTTTCCGCAACAGGCGCAAAAAGTCCAACAACACCGGAAACCCGTCCCGGCGACACGACTCGCAGTTGCCAATCTCGCGGACAGCGACAACGAGAAGCTCTCCCGCGTCAGCCAGTTGTGCGTCGAACGGCAGTAACGGCGCCTTCAGCAGCCGCTCGCCAAGCCAGTCGAGCGTCACGGCGAACCAGCGCGTCGCCGGGGCGAGAGTTTTGCCGGCAAAGCTCCAGTGCCCCATGCGCGGACAGAGCGCGGGGTGGTTCCAGTTGGTGCAGTCGGCGCCGGGGACAGCTTCCGAGGGAAGCCAGAGCAGGGAGGTTGTCGCGTTGGCAGCGAGAGAAGCGCAGGTGGCGTGGTATGTGAGGAGTGCGTGATAAGTCGACGAGGGGAGGTGGTCGAGTAGAGGCGAGCTTGTGAGAGCGGTTGGTGTATTGGAGTTGGAAAGAGGCTGGTTGCGGCTGCTTCCGTGAGGGAGATTGACGAACTCGCGGAGCGGGAGTCGAAGGGACGCCCAGGCGGCTTCTCGCGCGATGTCGTGCCAACGCAGTCCGCATGCAACAACAAAGACGCCGACAACGTCAGCATTGGCCGTTGAGGAAAGATGTTCCCGGAGCAAACGCTTGCCTAACGGCGTAACGGAGTCCACTTGGTATTTTGAGACCAGGACTTCCAGAACTAACCGGAGGTCGTCCAGCGGGTACAACGAGCGGTCTTCTCCATCCAGAAAGGATGAGGCGTTCGGGTAGAAGAAGCGCAGTGCCTTGTCTAGAACAGCCGCTCGCTCAAAAACATCGACGACAGGCAGTGCCTCGTTTCCGTCAGTCGTCACAGCGGGTCCAGGCTGCGCCAGCGAGAACATGTCGGCGAAGACGGGAGAAGCGAGCGCCAGCACGGCCTTGTGTACGTAAAAGTCGGTGGGCGGGGCGTCGCTGCTGCGGAGTACGACGTCGGGTCTGGGTGCGGTCTCGTTGCGCGGAGCGGGGGCGAATGGGTGGGCGGCGTTTGTGGCCATGGGCGGCAAGAGCAAAGACCGCGGAGGTCGTGACCGCGTTACCGCCGCCTTACGTCATTTTTTTCTTCCTTGACGACGACGACGATGGACCAAGACGAACGCCGTTTTCTTGGAGTGGAGGCTGGGTGAGTCTGTCCGGCTGTGTGGCCGCTGCGACCTCTCTCTCGCCGCTGCCTCCTCCCAGACTTTCGCGGGCTTGCGTTGCGCGCCGTAGCCCAGTACCCACTGGCACGCGCGCGCTGTCTACTAGTACCTGGGCACTACGCGGGTATGGAGGAGTTGGAGAGGACTCAGAGGAGTTGGAGACTTGGGATGTACAGGAATGATGGTGCGTTGCCGCCGACCTAAACCGGCTCCACGAAACCTGACCTTCATCCCGTAGTAGATACTCGTTTCTTCCTGGCAATCCTGACGCTACCTGTCTAGAATAGTCCGCAAGAAGAGGATTCTCATCAATTACACCAGGGAATCAGAGACAGCGCAGTAATGCGCAACGGCAAGTAAAAGAAAACTCCCGAGCAATGAGTTGACAGACATTTTATTGCCCACTCCCGAGAGGATCGAGGACTGATCAACGGCGTACCCAGAGACAAATCCACAATGTCTGTAGCTTTCTGCAAACTACACGTTCAATTATTCAGCCGTGTAAACATCCGCGCCGACCGCAGCACCTCCACCTCCACCTTTACCCTAGGCGCAACGTCCGCTTCTATGCGTCCTCTAATATTCGGCCCAACCAGCTTCTCCGGATCGGTGATCGTGTTGTGGCAGTGGACCAAAAGGCTGATTGTTTGCAGATTCTCAAGCCGCCGCAGCTCGCTGTTGAGGTGCGCCCAGTCGAGCGCGTCGAGCATGTAGATGTAATCAATCGTCAACACGAGCGTCAGCGTTTGTAGCGCCTTTGTTGCGGTTGCGAGCAGGGCCCACGGCGCGTGCAGGCGGGTACGGTTTGGCGCGTGGAAGCGACGTAAGCCGATGTGCAGCGTCAGGTCGGCCAGATTCGGGGCATGCACAGACAGTGGGAGATGTGTGCGCGCCTCTTGCTCAGTGACGTGATTCAGCAGCGCGAAATCGAGTTGTCGGAGATTGGGCCCGACGGCGGCAAGCAGTGCCCCTACGGCAGGGAGAGCGGAGGGCCAGAGTGTGCCTGCTTCCAGGGTGCGAAAGGCTGCTGGAGGGGATTTGGCAAGCCAGCGCGCAATATAACCGAATGGATTTCCGTCGTCGGAACGAATCTTCGTCCGAACTACGGCAAGGGTGGTTGGTGGTGGCAATGCACCGTCGTGAGCCGCAGATGTCTCGTCTCCGTCAGTCAAGAACGCCCCTTGCACCGCGACTTCTTCCAAATGCACGAGTCGGCCGACAAGCGCCGTAAAGTCGGCCGGTGAGCCGAAGGTGGTGAATATCGAGACAATCTTGACGAGATTTGGAAAGACGTTAGGGAGCATGTCAAGCGCTTCAGTCGGAACCCCGACCCAAGACACAAAGCACAGATGTAGGCGGCGCACGTGCGAGAGCGCCGCCAGTCGCGGGACCAGGTCACGGAAGGCGTCCGCGGAGTCAAGGTCCGTGTCAGGTCGGTTGATCGACAATGTGTGGACGTGCGCGAGGAACGTGAGCGCCTCCGGGGTCGTCAACAGCTCGAGAAATGCGTCGTAGTTCTTGTCCCGCAGCACCACTTCGCCGAACAGGAGTGGGCGGCTCAGCGCAAGCCAGCCTCTATTCACGAGCCCACAGGCTGCGAGAGAGGGTACGTTGTCGTGCAGGTGTTGGATGAAGAGGTCGTCGAGCTCGGGAGGAAATATCGCCAAGCTCATCGTGGTTAGAAGAGACAGGGCTGCGAGCGTGACAGTGGCAGCGTCAAATGACTCGGCTGTCAGAGCCGAGTAAATTATATCCTTATCATAAGTCGGAGTCGAGATTTGGTGACATAAATATTTCGAGCTACGTACATAGGTGTAGCCTAACATTCTATCCAGTAAAATCGTTTCACATGAACATATTAGAGGGATGGTGGCGGGTTTTTGGCCCATACATTCCGTTTACAGAATATTAGAAATGTTACAAATTGGTAAGTGTACATGAACAACAGCGAAACCCTAGTAGCATACATCTACAAACTATACAGTATGAACCAATCATGTTTTATCGTTACGCTACATCCCCGCGGCAGCGACGCACTCATACTCCCGTCGCACACGGTCCACAAGCCGTTCTGCCCAATCATTAAACATCATCAATCGCGAAAAACGGGCAAGACACACCAATCACCGGACTCGGGTGCATCGCGCGCAACGCTCCCAGCAGTGTCTCGACGCCAGCAAGCAGTTCCTTGCCGGCCATGCCCGGAAGCGTGTCCCCAGCCTCGCCCGAACCGAAGCGCGCGGCCCCAAGCAAAACCTCTGCCGCACTCTCGAGTAACACAGGCACAATCGGCATCACCACCGCCGCCGCCGCGTCCACTCGGGCCGCCTGGAGGGAATGCCCGACACAGACGGTGGCAAGGGCAGCCGCGAGGGCCTTCTGTCTCGACCGCTCGCAGCTTGCGGAGCGGGGATGGTGAAGGCGGAGCGAAGCGCCATGGGTGAGTAGGTGCATCAGGTGGTCGGCGAAGTCGCATCGCTCAGCGGTATCGAGGGGTGGTAGCGACGCGAAGTGATGGTCTATCAGGGTGTCGAGTAGCGCAAGTGCGGCGGCGTCTGTTCATGGGTGAGAGATGAGATAATAGAACAGAAGAAATACCCGCGGTACCATGGTGATCGCTCCTCGCCGCCTTCTCGAGCAGGATCGACGACTTCCCTATTAAAGTCAGCCGACTTGGATTTGTTTCACTGCCGTCCGGCTCGCCGTTGAGGAAGCGGATCACTCCGGATTGCGGTACGACCCCCGGAGAGTGTGCGTCGGCGGTGGAGGCTGGGAAAGCGGCGGAGAACTGACTCAGATCGTGATACGCGGGGACAGGGTACTCCACCATCGACGATGGCTCGTGCAGCCCCACCCCCAACAAGCTCGTGTTCAGGCCGGCATCCGTGTACGCGGGCAGCGTAGGCATCTCGGGATCAAACTCGGCGAACGCGTCCCCCATCCATTCTGGACTCAAGGCCCACTGATCACCAGACGGGCCCGCCTGAGTAGGCAGCACAATGCGTTCGATATGTGGCCACGGCGTAGAAATGTCCACGTTGGACAGTGCAGCAGCTCCGGCGTTCGGCTCGTGTGCAGCGGCGCAGAAATTGGCGACAACGAGCGTGGTCCAGAACGCCGCTACGCGCTCCGTCTCAGAGGGGCCGTCATTCCCAGACGACGACGAAAGGTGAAGGCTCCGAAGCTCAGAAAGAAGTGGGGAGGTGACATTGGGATGAGGGGCACCGATGCAATGTAGACGGGCGCTCAAGGCAAGGGAGCTGGCTGCTGTGGCGTGATAGCTGCTCTCCAGCGCACGCCCGAGGGCGAGGAAGTACAATGCCAGCAGGATCTCCGTTTGTATTCTGTCTAAAATTTCCGTCATCGAATTCGTCCCTTCATCGTGCAGGTGCCGTAGTGCTTGCGCGAGGAAAGTGTCTCCCGAGGAGCAATTGGAGCCGGGGAGCGACGGCGAGGAGAGGTGCGTGCCCCACATGTAAACGGCGTTGAGCAGCGCTGGCCCAGGATGGCGTCCGTTGAGAATGAATTGCGTTGTGGCCGCGCGGTGCCGGAGAGCGATGGGGGACAGGAAAAATCCGAAGCCTGCGCGGGTGAATGATTCGAGAAAGGTGTCGACTCTGTTCGCGTGAGGCTCCCTGACTCAAATCTGGATGGGAAACGCACAGCTGAAGGGCTACCTCGGGCGAGGGTTCATTCGAAGCAGTGGAAACGCCAGATAACGAGGGTGTCGCCACCCTGCCAGGACTTTCCGCTAGGATTAACCAGATCAGCTAGGCATGCGACGCAATGAAGGCCAACGTACGCGAAGGCGACCTTGCCGACATCCACTCATAACCCGGCGGACTGACCATGGGCATATCGAGCTTCAACACCAGCTCCTCTCGCTTCACATCGTCGAACAGCCCGCCCTCCAGCTCCCCAATCCTAGCTTTCAACCGCACGACCGTCTCCTCCAACTGCTGTGTGCGGCTCCGACCCTCCACAGGATACTCGCAGTCGTAAGCGGTGCTTGTACCTTTGCGACACTGTCCGCAGGCAGGGCGGCGGCCGTCGCATTTCTGCCAGTGGGGGATGCGTCAACAGAGGGGCAAGGGAGGGAACAGAAGCGGCGCACTACTTTTCTGCGGCTGTGAACAGAGGTCCATGAGGACTGCGCTGAGTAGAAGGCGTTACGACTCACCGACAGCTCATACACGCCTTCCCGCGGGGGGAGGTTGTTCCGGTGCATGAGATTTGGGCGTGGTGGGGGTATAAGTGACACTGGCTGGCGGGAAAAAGAAAGGGCACGCGCCACGCGCAGGGCAGGCTGCCTAAAAAGCACGCGCAAGCGTGTAGCGCCACTAAGCAGCGCGGGGAGCGGCGAGCCGCGTTCACAGCCGCGCTCAGTCAGCGGCGGGGCATCCGCTGATGACGAGCGGAAGAAACCCGCGTTGCGTGACAGGCACATCACACGGTATGACAAATGGAATGATCGGCGTGTGTCAGGGCGGACTTGGCGCGAGCCCCACGCCGGAAAGCGGCGCGCGCGCGTGAGTCCGGCCGACACCACATCTCTCCCGCCGCCCCGCCTTTCACGAGCATATCATCACCCATGGCCAGTCCCCAAAAAATTTCTGCCCCATTACTCCGCCAAATCCTCATGGTTCGGCTAAACGGCGGCTTGACAACGTGTGCTTATCAATCCTGCGAAGATCCGTGAACGACGTTACACGTGCAGATAGTTTGCTGCTTTATTTGAAATCTAATAGGCGCGAGGCAGCTCCGTGTCTGCATGTTGAAATCGTCCACAAAGTAGTCTGTCCCCAGACGAGGGCATGATCCGCATTCCCACGGAAGTCACCTATAATAATGTTGTAAGAATATATAGTATTGTCCAATGACAAAACAACTAAATGTAGTATCATCACATCAGGAGTCAACGACTCAACAGTGAAAAGTGGTACCCAAAGCAGTATTTGTTTGTGGCAAATAATGATAGAATTTTAGAAAAACAGACTATCCTAGCAACTTTACCAGTATTTGATGGGAAATAAGCATGGGTCTGCTTTGTGGACAATTAGTGAAATGTTTTATGCCCATTGATTTATAAATTGGTCGTGTGTTTCAATATGCTTTTGGCCACACTGAATTTTGGCCAAAAAATAGGTGCTGAAGTAGGATTTATTTATGGTAAATACTGCAAAACATATATGATTAGCCTAGTGGTGCATCACTGTACACCACATATCCCTGCCCATACATGACTGTCCGCGCTACTGCTGCTGCCGCCCCGTGAAAGCTCTCCCTGGCACCCTGTGTACTATCCGTCACAGATAATTAGGAAACTGAGGAGATCAAGATTAGTCCTGTCCACAATTATATTATGCTAGAATATATTTTGAATATATTCGAATAAATATGATTATATTATATTATATTATGCCCTCTGCATATTTAGACCCATTGAATATGAGTGATTATGATTATGATTATGATTGTGATTATATTATGAATATAATATATTATACCCTGGCCATGACTGATTATATTCAAATTCACCAGCAAGCCCTTCAGCCAGAAGTACTAGCTCTGTAGCAGGCTACTAGCAGCAGTGGCAACATCTTCAAACTCAGTCTTTGCAATATCAATAACTCTCAGCAGTAAATCAGCCAGGACAACATCTGTGTCCAGCCCTAACGGAATGCTGAAGTTGACCTTTACATTATTGCCCTGGACTTTGATGACACTCTGGGCTGGTGAAGGTATCATGATTAACCTGGAGTTTTGTTTAGGTCAATATTTTGTTGTGGGATATCCAGGCTATGTTATTAATCCTAGTCATTGCTGCAAGGAGCATCTCTGTAGAGTGCCTGTTCCCCAGCATCAAGCATAGGATGACAGATATATATGCTTTAATAACTGCAAAACTAGCGACAGAAACAATCATAACCAAGGAGTGGTTGAATAAACCACAAGATAAGGTGGATTATATGTACTATGTACAGACTTGTGAAGCTTGAATATAATTGAATATATTCATATTCTGAGCTCAAGTATGATTATGAATATTAATACAATTATAATATGCTCCAGCAGGGAGAATATATTATGAATATGAATAAATTATGAAATTTTCGTATTCATAATGATAATTGGACAGCACTAAGATTCAAGATGACACAGTGCCCCCACGGTTGCTCGACTTGCCGCAAGGAACATGTTGACCAATTCCGGTTTTCAATGTTAATAGCACCCCCAACGATGCTGGCTCCATCAATTAAATCACAGACTTGGTCCTACGTTGCAAGGGCCACTTCAAGCATGTTCAACTTGCTGGTACTCATGTTGGCGAACAAGACCTCATCCTGGGGTACTCCTGGTTGTGGAAGCATAACCCAGAGATCAATTGGGAAAAAAAAGGAGGTCAAGATGTGCCCACAAAACACTGTGAGTTATCAGTGGCACCCCGGTGGGTGCCACTGAGAAGGCTCAGTATTTTCAGAACATCCACTGAGGTGAATAATTGCTGAGGAGAGGGGTGAATAAAGTTGAGCTCCAAGGTAAAATTTGTACTAAGTCTAGTGCCCTCTTCTGGAGACCTAGCCACAGAATCATTTCTGAAAACTCCAACATCGTCCTTCTGCAGCCAGAACTCTTCCGTGTCTGCAAACTCCAGGATGTTTCCGTTTCCGATCCTGGTTCCTCTAAGGGCAACCCCAGAGGCCTGAGATCAAGGTCCTAGCAGGGGAGGATCCAAAGAGAAGAAACTCTAAGGGTCCACCTGCTAGGTAGCTGACTATATACTGCTTGTCTGTAGCTGCTGCTGTTGGGCACAGAAGGCTTGGGCAGCCTTGCAGGCCACACACCGTAAAAATGCATATATAAGTCATGCTTCAAATGATGGCTTTTTATATGATTTAAGCACTAACTTGAATGGTAGCTTAAACAGTGCTTTAAGCTTTGCTTAAATGTTAGATCAAAGTGGTGGTTTAAGAGCAAATCTAAGTGTCGACTTAAATAACTGTTCTAAGTATAGGTTTAAGCTACACACTTAAAATATATAAAAAGGCATCTTTTGAAGCTAGACTTAAATTTAGTTTTCTTTTCAGGAAGAGGTTGGTACTGGTAGTGGATCTCACACATTGTTGAAAGAGTTTGGTGTTTAAAGCTAAATTTTAGTCTAGCCTAGAATGATGCCTTTTTATATACTTTAAGTTTTGTTCTTAAAACTAAGCTTAGAAGCGTCATTCCAGTAACAACTTAAATTCATGCTAAAATGACTGATTTGAGCCAAACTTAAAGTACTGTTTTGACCGGGAGGAACCCATCGCACTAGCGGCGCAGCAACTCTGTAAGGCAGATTGTCGTACCAAAGGACAAGGACTGCCGCAGACGTCCCATCGGGCTCTGCCATGATACTCGAGTCGCTGGACACGCAGGGCATTCTCGGGACCAGCTGCGCGACACACCAAGCCCGTCATTTCAGTCCGGGTTCTGTTGGAGGCAGGCAAGAACAAAGGCATGTATGTAGTACCCGATTCCACAAAACTTAAAGACGATCGCACGAAACAGCATCAGCCCGCCGGTGCATCCCTGTACACCACGTATCCCGGGCCGTGCACGACGGTCCTTGCCGGCGCCGGCGCAGCGGCACCCCGCGCGTCTCCCGCAGCGCCGCGGCGCCCGGTGCGAGCCTGCGGCCGTGCCTGTCTGCGCACGCGCTCCGCCGCGGCCGGGCTCAGGATCCCGCCGGGCGCGCCGTCGACGCCGCCCCAGACGCGGGTGTGCGCGTCCGCGTACAGCAGCGGCCGGCCGGCGGCGTCGAATATTTGACCGGCGCTTGTTTGTGTGGCGGGCCGGGGACGGGGACGGGGACGGGGAGGGGGAGGGGGAGGGGCGCCGGCGCGGCCCGATGGGATCGATGGGATCGATGGGATTGGGGGGATTGGGGGAATCGAGGGAATCAAAGGAACCGCAGGAACCGCAGGAACCGAAGGAATCGAAGGGATCCGGGGGACAGGCGGCACCCGCGGCACCCGCGCCCCCTCAGGCCGGCCCTCCCCGAACAACGCCCGCGCGCGACTCGCGCTCATAATCGTGACGCTCCCGCCGCCGCCCGTGCCGCCGTTCCCGCCGCGGCGCGCGCCCGGGAGGCCCGGCGCGCCGACGCCGCCGAGCTGCAGGTTCAGCGTGGTCACGCCGGCGCGCCAGAGGGCGTCCATGTTGACGAGGCCGAGGGCGAGCCCCGGCACGGGCGGCGGCGTCGGCGGCCGGTCGGAGTCGGAGAGGTCGGGGTCGGAGTCCTGCAGGGCGTTAGTGCGTGCGTAAGGGGAGGGACGGAGGGTGGTGTACGGTGTCGACGAGGGTCTGCTCGTCGTCTGACGCAGGCGGGGGCTCGACGAACATGGCGTCGTCGAGCACGGAGCCATCGAGCGTGGCATCGTCAAACGTGGAGTCTTCAAGCGTGGCGTCGTCGAGCGTGGCGTCGTAGTCGTCGTCGCGGTCGTCATACGCGTGGAGCTGTGTCATGGCTGTCGTGTGCAGAGGGAAGTGAAGGGGAAGGAAGGGTGTGGGGCACCATGTGCCTGTGCCAAGCTCCGCCTTATATACGGCGGCCGCGTGTGGTGTCCACAACGGGAGTCACTGTAGAGCGGCGTCAATCCAGTGATATCTAGACGCCGGACGCGTGTACTGTGGATAACAAGACAGCAACTGCAAGGCGATGGCGCACCCACAAAGAGGCAGTGCACCCCAAGCACTGCCCCCCGCCCCTAGTCGCACGCTGTCGATGCGATGCGCGCCACAGCCCGAGTCTCCCTCCGATCTCGACAGCCGCCTCTCCATCGCGTGGCACGCCCCGCCACCCCGGCGCTCGCCGCTCATCCAGGGTGATCCAGCGCATGGACGGCGAAGCCTCCGCCCCTTCTCCAGCGCGGCCATAGAACGGGCACGCAATCTCGATGCGAGTCCATTACAGTAACAGGTCTCATGAAAGCATATAGGCCACCGAGTCGAAACTGGCAGGGGCGCCGCGCCGTCTTCGAGGCGGGACGGAAGAATGAGACGGCGAAAGGGTGGAGACCATGAAAGGAGTCGACTATAGTATGTGGCCCGTGAACAAAACGAGGATGGGACAAGAGGGCATAAGACCCGCCTCGGATGCGAACCCGAGCTCGCCGATATCAGACTGTGTGCGACGCGCGAATCGAACGAGTGTCCCGCTGGAATGGAAGTGTGAGTCGGGACAAGCGGGCGGTGGGTCGATGGACACGCTGGTGGGGGGGGGGGGCTATGAGGCGCAGAGCCCACCAGAGGCGGCCGTTTTGAGGGACCACGACACACTGGCTCTGGAGTCTGAGCTGAAGGCCTCGCGGCCGGAGCGGTCGCAGCTAGAGGATCGATGAGCCCGGTGGTGGGGGCGACCATCGCGAATATAGCTGGCATACAATGAGTGAAAACGCAAGGAAAGAAGGACAGCCTTGACGCACGTCTGCCCCAGTAACCATACGTTCCCTCCGCTCAGCGACGCCCAGACCTGCCCGCGCGCGGGCCCGGCGTTGGCGGGAAGCCATGGGCTATTGACGACGGACGTGCTGGCAAGCACCGCCGGCCTGAGAAGAGGCAACAGAGCCAAGTGCGCCGACTCCTGAGTTCAGGGAAGGTCCCGTGGAAGTTCCACGAGTCGAGGAATCTGGACTCGGCGCATGCCGGAGCACGGAAAGGCTGGCGGCGGGGGAAGGAAGCGGCGCCGGACGAGTCGGTGGTGGGGGCGTTGATAGCTTCCCTGCCCGGCGACAAGAGCGTAGCTGGAAAGCACTGAGTGAAAACGCAAGGAAAGAACTTGAAGGACCGCTTTGACGCACGCGTGCCCAAGCGCCCATCGCGCTTCTCAGCGACTCCCAGAGCTGCCCGCGAGCGGGCCCGTCGTTGTCGAGGTGTGGGTCGAGGATTATGCGTCCCGCGCATGACGGCGCGCAGAAAGGGAAGAGAAGGACGTGACGTGGCGGCTACGTCACCACGTCACCCGAAATTTTTTTGTCTTCCCGACGATTGTGACGCCAGCCGGCGGGACACACTGCCGTCTGGCGCCTGGACGTGTTCACGGTTTTCATCGATGTCGGGAAGGTGAGTGCTGGTAGCGCCACCCCACGTGTTCTGATCGTACTTTTCGGAGAGTCTGTCGGGAGCCTGAGCGAAACCGCTCGTTTCATCCGCGCTAACGACCCAACGGCCCGCTGTCCGTCCTATTTCCAGGCACCGACTCCCATGCTATCCCGACCACGGCCAATAAGAACAGGGCGCCTCTATTATGGGTATAGGCCCCCTCCCGTCCCCCACACTTGGATTCCCGCCCGTCTGCCCAGGAGAACTATGCTACGAGTCGACGTCCTTGCCCTCCTGCTCTTGCTCTGCTATCTTCTTCGGTCTGTGTGGCGAGAGCGTCGCCGCAGAGCAGCCATCCGCCACATACCCGGCCCAACTGCGACGTCTTGGCTCTTTGGTATGTACCCATAACCCACCCATAACCCCACTGCAACTTGTACAGGTAACATGGTCGAACTGCAGCTGTCGGCCTACGACAAATTCGAGTCTCTCTGGCGCAAGACGTACGGTCCAGTCTACCGTATCAACGGCGCTTTTGGGGTGCGGGCTCAGGCTTCCGTTTGTCATTCTCCCCGTTGCCCCTCTCAGCTTAGCACAGCGCGACGCCCTGGTTGTTGCTGATCCCAAGGCACTCCAATACATCCATGGTAGTCCTGCATTCGAGAACGCGCCCGCAATGCGCACGATACTCGTCTGGCTCGTCGGGGCGGGGGGGATATCAATGCTCAACGGGCACGGTGATGCTCTCACGTTTTTCCCGGGCGGCCCGGTCGTGGTTAACGCTCCCCAGGAAAGGACCATCGGAGGCTGCGTGCGGCGATGAACGGTGCATTCTCTCCGTCGGCCCTGCGGAACTACATCCCGATTGTGGGGAGGATCGCTCAGGAGGTGCGTCTCACCGCCGATGTGTCCGCCTACGCATAACACCTCCTTAGCTGTGTGAAACGCTGGACGAACATCTTGACGGCACGGGAAGCATGGTCATCGACATCATGCCATTGCTCAATTCCACGACGCTGGCGATGACGACGGAAAGTACGCATACCGCTGGAATGAAGCGCCGACCAGTGACAATCAACTTACAATTCTCTCAGTTCTGCTCGGAATCCCACTCAACGAGCTCCCACCGGAGGTGGTGCAGACGAACATGCAAGTAGTGTGCGATATTGCTACTTTCGCGCATTATTCCTAACGCTGACGTCAACTGCAAGTGGATACACGTCGACACTGTCGTCTGTCCAGGTGATCGCCGAGGGATTCTTGAACCTCGGGCTCTTCCCGCAGTGGTTCCTCGACCGGGTCCCCAACTTTGCATTCGGCGAGTTATTTACGATGGTGCGGAAACAGATCCGCAATTCGGAAGCGCTCACATGGCGCTTTATTGCAAATCATCGTGCGGCGACAGGTTCAGCTACCGTCTATGGTGCTGTCCTTGATGGTGTGTACAACAGTGCACAGTCAACCAACTGTCTAGTGACTTATCTCCCGCAGCAGGCTCAACAGTGAGTCCAGAGGAGCTTGTCAAGCAGACGTCGACTTTACTCTTGGCTGGACAAGAAACTACAGTAAGACCTTTTATTATTCATTGTATTTTGACCCACATGTCCAATTTAGTCCCTTGAGATTTCCTGGGCGCTGCTGGAGCTCTCACGGAATCTCACTCTTCAAGAGGACCTCCGTAAAGAACTTAAAGAACTCAGTGCAACAAATGCCCCCTTCGAGCAGTCCCCGTTGCTCAATGCGATCATCAAGGTGAGCGCCCATGTCAAGCATGTGTGTCCAATCACACTGTTCTAATACAGGAAACATTGCGAGTCTACCCTGCCATTGCCCAGACCTCCCGGATTGCTACACGAGATGCGCTCATCCCCCTCAGCAAACCCCTTTCCACTGCGAATGGTGACATTGATCATATCCCTGTGCGCAAAGGCCAGCTCCTCGTGCTTTCCACTGGTTCTTTCCACAGGTGTGTTGATGGGTGTACTTTGATCAAGAAGCTGTTTAGAAATGTGCTATGCAGGCTTGAATCGCGATGGGGAGCCGACGTGGGTGAATTCAATCCTTATCGGTGGATTGAGGGCCGGGTTCCACAAGGAGATGGGATGGGTCCATATGCCAACTTGTGTGTTCCAGTGCTGGTGTTTTTGAGTTGCCTACTGACCACTGTTCTGCTTCAGGCTGACATTCTCCGCCGGGCCTCACTTCTGTCTCGGGTATGTAAACCCATCTCAACAATGGCCGCAGGGCTGACTGATCCATCCTAGATGGCGATTAGCGTAAGCTGCACTTCTGGTTAATACATTATCCAAACTTACTCACGGTTCGGAACAGGATTCAAGAAATGCAGATTGTCATTGCAACACTAATCCAGAACTTCACATTTTCACCTGCTGCTGATAAGGATGTCCATGCACAGATTCTGGGAACACTTCTTATGCCAATGGATAGCAGCCAGAAAAGAGCATGGATACAAGTTAGTAAGATTGACTAAGGTAGTAAAGAGATAGATGAGAAACAAGGATGCTTCAGAACAAGACAGTGGTATAAGCAATCTTGAATTCCCTAGCCAATGAGATGGTGAGATTAGGCTCAGTTCAGGTTCAGGCAATATTTTTTTTTTCTTTTGCAAACCCTGAACCTGAACTTTGGTTCAGGCTTCAAGGGAGAGGGAAGAAAAAAAAATTAAGGAACATATGCACTAAAAAAATTAAGGGCCCACAGCCTGTCAGCTGGACTAACCGACTGTGACATGTGTGATGATTGCCTATTTGGGCAGGTGTTCCACGGGATCATGTGATTGACTCACCTGAAAAATAATACTCACAAACTGTTGTACTATGTCTACCCACTCGTTATGGCTGCAATAAAGAAAAAACCATAGGATTAGACTTATATTATATTATTCTATATTATATTATAGTTTGATATTATTATATTAGTATTATGACTCCAGTGTTGACCAGCCTTAGAGGCTCATCAGCAGTCATTAGTCAGCATTGATCCGGATAGGCCGTCCTTCCGGACTCCTTTAGTTCATCTAGTTCCTTAGTTCCTGTATGGTTCCTTCCTGTTCCTTCTCCTAGCTCCTAGTTAGTAGGGTATATAAGCCTGTCTTTAGTTTGGTTTCCATATCATATTATAGTTTCCCCCAACAGAGTTTCCCTCAGAGTTCAAAGTCTTCCTTCTTCTTCTCCCTCTCTGGTTGTGGTGTAGCCTTTGGTTGCAGTTAGAGCAGTTTGAAGGGCTCTTGCTTTTCTTGTTCTTTCTCACACCAGTGAGAAAGCTCGTCAGTGTAATATATTATAACATATTATTCTAGCAACTTATATGTGAGCTCCAAACTTATGAACTTTGTAGAAAACCAACTTGTATAGTAACTAGTACTACTTCTATTTGTGTTCTTGTACTGTGAATGGTCTTCTTGC